CTGTTTATCACCCTGAGATAGGTTTTGTGAATATTCACGTGATAACAAATCTTGAGTCCACGGTTGCGACTAAAATTCAATGGCCGCGGCGGCAATAATTTTGACGTAGTTACTAGTATTGCCGGAATAGAAAAACTTATTTCTACTCTTTTAAATAAATGCGTTCCTAATTTTACTACACGTTACGAAACCTGAGTAACGCAACGTTATAATTTTGGGACATTATTAATTTAATCAAAATAAATAATTTTTTTAATGATTTACGAATGAATTAGGACGAATTTAATTACTTGATTCAGCAGGAGTAATATGGCCATAGCCATGTTAAATAAAGCTTATTAATATTTGTAACAACATGACTCTGAAAAAGTAAAATGGTCACTGGGACGCTAAAAAAACGTTCGATAGCATTTTTACAAAAAGAATGATCTCCAAAAATTTATGCCTTTACTAAAAATTAAAGTTAAAATACCAAAAAAATCTTCACAGAGACTAACATAACAACAAGGGGAATTGTTTTTTATCATATTTATAAAATTAGATATTTATTAAAGTATGAGTTCGCGGGACAAGAAAAGATAACAAATGTACATCTTTTCTGAGTATGACCCAATGGTGCTCTGTAAGAGCGAGAAGACGTTCCTGAGGGGACCTCGCAGCGCGCAATTTGCGTGCTACCACCGCGATTTCACTTACGTCGATGTTCCTAATAGCGGAATACAGCGTTTTTAGGTCTTCAATAGTGGGCTGTGATTATTGTTGTTGTGGGGCGGAGGTTGTCCGCGGTGGGTCTGCCTTATTGGGGCCCCAGGGAAAGACTGGAGGCTGCATAGGCTTTGAGAAGCCCGGAGGGGGGCCGAATAATGCCCTGAGGAGGCCTAAGGGGACCTTGAGAGGGCCGATAGAAGCCCTGGATGGGCTGAGAAAGGCCCTGACGGGGCCGTTGGTAGAGAGCCGGTAATGAGCGGTCGTTGACCGGCGGTGGAGTTTGTCTACTGGGGCGAGGATGAGGTGCGCAAGGGCAGCCTCTGTAGTTTGCCGGGTGGACTGTTTGTTTCCACAGGACACATGCGGGTGGGGATTCGGCGTCTTTGGGCCGAGGACACTCTTTGGTGTTGTGGAGTTCAAGGCACTTAACGCACCTGGGTGGGGCGGAGCAGTTGGCCGCCGCATGACCATATAGCTGGCAGCGGGGGCACTGCGCTGGGAATCCGCGCCTATGTGGGGGCTCAACCTTCACTCTCGACAGGATACACACTGTGCGTACCTGCCGAAAGATGGCTTTTGCCTCCGGCACGTTTGTTAAGATGACTAGGGCAAGATTGAACCTTTTGCCCGTTCTGCTGTGCATTTTGTACACGGCTTCTACGGGGAAACCTTGGGACTTAAGGTCCTCAAGGATTTCCTCGTTAGAGAATTCAAAGGGGACGCCTCGGATGACGGCCCTGACTTTTCGCTCTTCCGGTAGAGCGTAGGTATGGTATGATACTCGTTCGGCTGTGAATAGCCTGGTCAGTTGACGGAAGTCTTCGATTGAATTGGGGATGATTTTAATAGTCTCCCCGAGGTTGACGGCGTGGTCGTATTTAATGCCTGCGTCGTAGCAGGTTTTAGATAGTTTGGTGAATTTTGCCTTGTCTATTAGGAAGACAGGGGGCGGGACTTGCTTCTTGGCAAGGACTGGAGCACATCGAGAGGCTGGCTTGGCCGTAGCGGGGATGTCTAGTGACATAAGTGGGACCGCGGCAGCGGCGGGGGCTGCGGGGGGCAGAGGCGGCAGCGGGGGCTGCGGAGGTTGTAGGGGCGGCAGGGGCCGCTGAGGCAGGGAGGATGCGTATTTTCGAGGTGCGTTTACCGCTGCGCCTGGAGTTCACCGTGGTGAAAGAGGAATCTATGGTTCCATCGGAGTCACAGGACTCCGATGAACCGGTGCCTGAATTGGTGACGGGCCTCTTCCGGGAGGCCGACGCGGAGGACTCGGAGCGTTCGTAATCGATTTCTAGGGGGGCAAAGGAGTTCCGTGTGTCTAAGTAAGTCGCGATTACGGGCGGCGGTTGGAGTGCCTGAGGGGCAGGGGGAGTAACTTGGGCGGCGATGGCGGCGAGGACCGTCTCATCGAGGTTTAGGCAATTGCCAAGAGTTTGGTTTAGACCAAGAGTTTGGTTTAGGGCGGTGACGAGGGCCTTAATATGGCTAATTGTGGACATTTTGAGGCAGTAGTTCTATGAACGGAAGGATTTGGGACGGGTCCCTGTTCTCAGTAGAACAGGGACTTGAACACGAGCCGAAATACGATACAATATACACGTATAACAATAAATAATAACAGAGAAATAACAAAATTTCAAAAATAAAACAGTAACAGTAAGAATAACAATAAAGTAACAATAACAAGCGGAGGTCAGTCAAACCTCCCCGCCCGAAGACAGGGGGGCAAGAACTGAAGACTCACCAATGCGTCGACGCTGTACAGCGCGAGCAGGACAGCGGAGGCGCGAGAGCCAGATAGCACTACCGTACAAGGACGAGAGCGCGGCCTACCTGGATGCGACCGCTCGAGAGCGATGCCACAGGCGGAATGTGCTTCACCTTATTATCGCTGTTTAGTTTTATACAGTCCAGAGAACATATTGGGTGCTGCATCAACTGAAAACCAGCAGTTTTTGTTGCCATTCGAACTGCTGGGTTTCAGTTTTCTGCCCATCGATCGATGATCAGGAGCATCATCATGATAAGTAACTGATCCAGCACAGAGTTTTCAGGGACGTTTATTTTTTAGTTTTTCGTGAAGTTTTTTGATCCTTTATAGTCCGCTTATCTTCGGTTATGGTCTCTATTTACGCTCACTGTCCTAGTTTCAGCCAATAGTAAAACAATAGCAATGAAATATATGTAGTACACGGGACAGCGAAAGGGTTAATAACTAAATAGTCAATCATTATTGTACCTTCTGCATTCGAAAATATAGAGGCCATTACTTTTCCAGCGTCTGCAGACACTTTTGAATTGAATCTCTTGTCTGGGGGTTTTTTCCACACTTTGCTTTAGTTTTTCGTCTATGGGTCAAAATGACATTTAGAATCTCAAAAAAAAAAAAAAAATTCAGAATCTCAGCTAAATAAAAAACAGTTGTACGTCATTAGATTAACAATTTATTAGATTTTTCTTGCATAGTGGCCGTTGTTGCCCGTCCGGAGCGAGTGAATAAGAGGGAGAATTGTCTGCCAAAGTAGATTGCAGTTCTTTAAAAACACTTTTTGTAGAAAAGTTTTTTAAGCAGAAATATTTAATTAAAACCACACGAAGTTCGAGTTTTTTTTATTTTGCATATTAATCCGATTCCCGCCAAATATCAAATTTGAAAAAAAATTGGGGGTAGTTTTTAATTTAGTTTCTTTCTTGCTTTGGCTACTAACTATAACGACTTTAAGATCCGAAAATAATAGAACGCATTTCTATAACGTCTATAAGATAAGTGTCAGTGTGTAAAACTTATTGATCAACTTAGTATTATTGGTAAGCTGAAGTGGCAATGGGCCGGCCATATTGCTCGAAGAATCGAAAACTGATGGGGAAGTAAGGTCCTCTAGTGGCAACTCGTTCCGGTAAGCGAAGCGGTAGCGCACTATACGGGCGGCCCCCCACTAGATGAAGTTACGAACTGGTAGGATATACAGTAAGGCGATGGATGCATTCGGCTCAAGATCGTGCTTTGTGGCATTCTTTGAGGGAGGCCAATATTCAGCAGTGGTTTTGTGAAGGGAGTCATGATGATGATGGTGACGATAATTATTACGTTCTTACACTGTCACATAGAAAAATATTTTTTGTCGATGTAAGAAAGTTATAGTAGCACTAAGTATATAGTTTGAATGTATTGTAAATATTATATTGTTTAAAACTGTACTAACCGACTTCTATTCTCTCTTTCAACGGTCCATCAATAGACCCTCTGGAAGAAATTTCACTATGGAAGACACAGTGCTTTTCTACATTTGTTCTTACTTCCATTTTCCTTACATAGTATGTTGTGCACAAAATATTAAATAAATTAACAAATAAGTTAAAAAAAAACCTACTTTTACATATACTGGCTTGCTTACCCTTCCAACCAGAATACAGCCATAGGTGGATTGCTCTCAATGTCAATCTCACTTGCTTGCAGAATACATTGTTAACTAATACGTGGTAGACTCGCTGCAGCTGTATGATGATGTGAGTATGAGTCGGTTCAACACGGGAAGGCTAGCACAAAATACTATCATATAGCAGCATAAAGCTGCTCTGTTTCTTATGGTGATTGTAGAATTTTTAAATTTATGTAGGATAGGTTGATAAACGAGCACACAGTCCACCTGATGGTAAGTGGTTGCTGCGGCCCATAGATATTCTACATCTATCCTCGATTACGAATCAAAATGCAGATACGTTGTCACCGGTGAGACTAATATGGAATGCCTCATTTCCAGTAAAAAGAGTCTCCGGTCCTCTACACTGACCATACGAAACACAACAGCATTAAGCTAATGGCTCTACCACGTATAAGATAACAAATCTTTTCTACTAATAACGATGCATTCGATCTCATTCCTCAGGGCTGAAAACGCATCATGATTCTCAAATAATTTTACATGTAGGGCCGTTGTAGTTACTTAACGTAAGTAGGGGGGGAGGGGTAACAGAAATTGAAAATTTCTAAGATGAAGAATTAACAGTGCGAGAGATTGTAGCTCTGCGCTCACTAACCCTTCCGCCCAGTAACGGTTGGTTAAGTTTAAGTTATGCAGCCAATTGGAGCATTCTTTAAAAATACCTATATCATAATATAAAAATATAGTTACACAAATATATATATATATATATATATATATATATATATATATATATATATATATATATATATATATGTGTGTGTGGATTAAAAAGAGACTGATAAAGAATTAAAAAAAAATCACGTGAAATCTATTATTTTAATTTTTAACATGATATAAATATTTCAGTTCTTTGGACACCATTCTTTGATCATTTGAAAGAAGCATGGGATTTGCGTAATCACCCCAACTTGCTGTTTTTATTCTACGAGGATCTTTTAAAGGTTTGAAAATTTTATTTCTTTGAAACATTAAAGTTCTCTTTAACGTAGGACTGAGCTACCGGCTTATACGAGTATTGTTTGTGATAATGCTATGACCTTACAACGCATCTAAATTTGCTGCTATTTTTTATTTAGTAGAGGTTTGTGGTTATTTTTTTACCACCCAGAAATACTTGAGTACTCAGAAATCCTTATAGTTATGATGGGAGACAACTCCACTTCCCCCTGCCCTCATCCTTATTCCGGAGACTAAATGTTATTATTTAGAGGTCAGATCTATGGGATTTTCTTTTCAATTTTTCTTAATAACAGTGTATTATTGTACTGATGGGAGTGGTGTGGGATGTTAGGTACGTTAAAACTGTTTCAATAAAAAAACGCATTTTCATTACCATTGTTGGATAAAAAGTATCCTTTATGATACCCAGGATCATTAACTACCTCTACTATCATACTGGATTTCATGAAAAACTGTCCAAATCTGTCTGTTTCCGAAAATCGGGCAAAAAATTTAAAAAATTATTAGTTTGGCCTTAGCATCCTTTATTTAGTCGCCTAGTCTTAGATTTCTAGAAAATATTAGAATTATATTTTGCGATATTGTTATGTATTATGTGTATAGTCCAAAATGTAGCGTACGTGGTGGTAGGCAAGCTTATGTGAAAGGTATATTTGTTTGAAATAGTAACATTTTTGTTTAGCGCATATATAACATATAAGTGGAATGAATTCTTACTACACGTTTAGATTGTGTTGATAGTCTTCACCATGTACCGAGGTATATTTTAATAGGCTTTTTCCCGATCCTTTATTTCGATTTGCGATGATAAAGCAAACTGCAGGTAGGGGTTATAGTGGTACCTAAAGTTAAAGTTACAGCTTATAACATACGTGCCACTCTTGGGGCACAGACCTCCGCTCATTTCTGAGAGGATGTTAAGGCAAGGAATTGTCCGTCACGCTGCCCCAATGCGTATTGGCAAACTTCACATGTCTTCGAAATATTTTTTTCTTATTTCTCTGACATGCAGGTTTCCTCACGATGTTTTCCTTCGCCGCGGAGCACGTGGTAAATCAGTACTTAAAATTGCAATTAACAATTTCGTTGGTGCCGGCGGGGATCGAACCCGGTTTGCTCCAAAGATTAAAATAGCTAGATGCGCCTTCACCTTGAAAACTGTGGCATTATCTTTGGATGTGTTCGTTTGCAAGACTCTGACGCGCGCACACTACTGCAATAGTGTCATCTCTTATTATCTTACAGAAATTGTGTATACTACTATCTCTGTCGCGCAAATGAGCACATATTTCGAATGAGTGAGCTCAGTCATTTGAGAATAGCCACATTTCGGTGTGGTCATACTATGGTAAGGGCGCATCTAACTATTTAAATCTTTGGTTTGCTCGCGTACTGTAAAATTTACTGCGAGCGCTAACTATCTGAGCTACCACGGCTTGGTACGTACGTGGACCGAACTCAGGCTACAATCGGTAAGCCTTTATGTGCCTACACAACCTTTTATCTTTTTGATAAACAAAAGGGATAATTTATTTAAAATTTCCGTTTTTTTCATATAAGGATTTGCCTCGCATCGTGCGCCTTGTTGCTGAGTTTCTTGGTAAAGAGTATAATGATGAACAAATTGCCGGCTTATGCTCACATCTCCATATTGATAACTTTAGAAAAAACCCTTCTGTCAACATGGATGAAATGAAGGAGTTGAATATGTTTCTACCAAATGAAACTTTTGTTAGAAAGGGTAAATATATTTTATAGTATAATATTTATTACAGTAAAAATGAATATACTAGTATATAGATATTCTGCTAAAAAACATCACGTAATTATATTGAACTGGTAAGAAGGTAATGATTTGACAAGAGTTTTTCATAGACTTGCTATGTAGTACCGGCCTTTGAGCATCTAGTGCTAAGCAACACGGTGCTATGTGAAGGGTCTATCCACGACTGCGGTCCCGGGTCCATCCAAGGTTGTTTGGCTTCCAGCGTGGTGACGGCGTAAGGTAAATTTATCCCGTGGGAATCATAAGAGGCGACTGGGACCTAAGTCTAGTAAGTCAAGCGTGACAATCGTGACAAACCGGGAAGAATTTGGCTTACAATGATAGAGGTACATTTTTAGCGGTTGCCTTTTAAGGGCTGATAAAGAAGAATTAGAGGAAATGTGTAATAATAAAAAATAACTGATGTAATATTTGCATAAAAACACTACTCTTTTGTGTGAGGTTTGTAATTTTGTAGTTTTCTTATGTAAAGGTGGCACACGGTCAACCTGATGTTAAGTGGACTCCGTGGTACATAGACATCTCAATTTATCCTCTATTAAATCAAAATGCATTGTCAACCCGAGGATTTAGATGAAATAACTGGTTATGTGTGGTGGTGCTCTCTGGTTCTATAGTCACTGACCAAATGAAACTCAGCAGCATTACCTATGTTATTTAACGCTGTTATCCTGTGCTAGCGTGGTTCTTCAGTCTTAGAATAGACCCAATAGTATTGTAGCAGTAATATAACTGAAGAGTGGTTTTGCCACGTAAGGACCTTATACCTCTCCCACATAATTTTAATATCTAATATAATTAAAAAACCGTGGAGAATAATCAATAGTTTAACAGCTCATCCTACGTTTCTTATTTAAAAAGAAAAGATAAGATAAAGATAATATGGCATATTAATTTATTTTGGTATAAAATAAGGTTTTAAAATTTTAAAATTAGGATGCATTCAAAGATAAATATTTTCATAGATTTTCTCATTACCCAAAGCCAAGTTTAACTAGAATGGCATTTTTAAATAATAAATCACATGAATATTTAAGATGTTTTAGGGTGCAAAAAATGAAAAATATCGAGTACAAATGGCCGCAACGGTATAAGGGCTAAAACATTGTTTACCGTTACAGGCTACTCACTAGGGGTAAAATCCGTATAAGTGGTTTTGTTCTATGAATGGAAAAATTTCATTAAACTTATACCCATACATCCAAATTCACCTGATTGATACAACCTTATTAAAAATTGAATAATTTCAGGCAAAGCTGGCGGTTGGCGTGAGTACTTCGACGACGAAATGGCCCAGGAAGCTGAACGCTGGATCACGGATAATTTAAAAGACACTGACTTACGGTTTCCATCCGCACAATAGTTGGAACTGGTGTAGCCTGTGGTTGAAATTTGATCCATTGTATGGAAACAACGCTAAGCATTTTGTATAACTTTTAGTTTTGTAATATTTTCCTTTGCATTGTAAGCAAAGAGATTTTTTTAAATATATTGAATTACGATTATATTTTATCCAGTTTATAATTTATCTATTAGATTTTATCCATTTAGGATATGTTGGAAAAATATTCCGTTTTGTATGGAAAATTCATTGTAAGTGAATACACTTATTTATTTGTCTCAACTTCAACACACACTCATGAGTTTCTTTTTGTGAACATCTCACAGTACCTTTGGAATGTTTTAATGCTCTCATTAAATACTATAAAAATACTTCAATTATCGATGTCCGCATCATGTCGTTTCTATTGCAGTTAAATATGATGTTAACTATTAATTATTTAGGATGCGTAGGTATCGTATTCGATTGTAATGTTTTATTCAAATAATGTTGAAAAATATAATTAAAATGTTTTGTAAAAATATGGAAATCGATTTTTTAATTGCAATGTATTAAAAAATATATTGGTCGAAATCAGGAGAATTGGAGAAAATCACTGACTTTTGAAAAGACCTCAATGGGTGCTGTCTAACGGGATTTAGAGAGTTTCTCAACTACTTAGAGTTAACAGGCGTGTCTTCACATAAGCTGGAGCTAAGAGTTGGTGTCCGAGTTCTGCTGATACATAACGTTGGTGCACCGAGACTGTGCAATGGCATCAGGCTGCGCATCCAAGTGAAAAATATTACTTATGTCATTATTCTAGCTGGGGCAGCTAAATAATTAATTTACAAAAACTTACTAATACAATTTAAAAAGCTAAGGTTTCCACTAAAGTTAAAATTTGGCATGAGTTAAATTGAACAGTGGGAAATCAGTCAGTCAAATATTGTACAATCTCACCTCTCATCAATCAAAACCCAGGTTAAATGACAACTTACTGTTAGCAGGGCCTTCCTAGCTTGCCTACAGTCTTCTAGATTTTTGCAAAGCTGAGTGTGTTTGTTAGTGAAGTGCTTACGTAGCAATGAACTAACGTTACCAAAAGGTGATCTGATGGTATGATCGGTTCCGGCCCTATGGCGACCAGAGCCGATCCTCCCTGATCAGTTCGTCAGCTGCACCGTTGCTGTTGCTACACTCGGGATCCACTGTACCTCTTGATCCATTGTAGAGTCTCACTGTCATATTTACATGCCTCATTTAGTCATTAATGGCATTCATATATTAGCCCCGTGTTCACCACGTTGCAAATAAGAGCCTGTACCGCTATATTGTCGGTCAGTATTCTGATAGAAAACTCCTTTACCTTCCTGGCATCTAATGCTAAGGCCACTTGAACAGTACCCATACATCTATTCTCGACTACCTCTTTTCAAGGATGTGATTTCTTAGTCCTCTAAGAATGCTAGACTATTGCTAATAATAAACTATAGTTAACCAAATCTAAGAAATACCTTTTGACGTTTCGCATTAATCATTTCGCAATAATTTTGCAGAAGCGTACTCACACGATTTAAAATAACCTTTTAGGTAAATCCGAAGAATTATGAAGTTATCTATATTTCATTACAGCGTGTATAGTTTTTATCACTAATTTAAATTCGAATCTTTCAAACAAAGCAAAATATTAAAAAAATAACCAGTATCAACTTTTTTTACTTGATGTCGCTTCATTGGTATGTCGCTATGTACCTTAGCGTAGTGTTTGGATGATTAAAATTCATTGTTATGCGATTAATCGGCAAAAATATTCAATTAATCGGCAAAAATATTCGAATAATCGAATCATTTTTTTAATGTATTATTATAAATTTTTATTTTTGAAATTCCTTAAATTACATAAATCATGAATAAAACAAGTTTATTTTTTCTTACTTTGTACCAACGTAAATTTGGGTAGGTAAAAAAACTCATATACAAGGTCGCGCTGAAAAAACCACTAGGTAATTACAATCTCCCGCCATTTCGGGAGCTTACTGTGCGTAATTTTGTGATTTTGGGTTTGTCTTCTTATTTTGTGACTCGGATTTAACTTTTTGGACTGTTTTTTCTATATTCACAAATGATGATTGGGCAAAAGTGGTAGAAAAAACAAAAACATTGATTACGGATGACTTTGAAAGAGACATTAATTTTGACTGCATTATTGAAAATCGAATAATAGTTAATCTAAACAACGTCAGCTCAACTAGTTGTACGTAAAGTGATTGAATAAATTTATTTTTAATCTAGTTTCAATCTTAAATTTTTATAACTATGCGCCTCTAGAAATAAGCAGTAACAACAAATACGAAGAAACTAATAAATCTTGTGTTTTAAATTATCCGGTTTTAATTTATTCTAGTATTATTCAAACCAAACTGTAAATGATTACCAACTCTAAAAAATCGATATCAATTTTTTTAGGAATCGAATATTGTACATTTCCAGTTTTTGGTTGGCATGCTTGGTGCAATAAGTCTGACAGCTGTCAAAATGTATTTCTTAGATTTGGTTGACTATAAATACCTTTGTTTACAGTAAAAGGGGTATCAAAAGTGTTTTGTAGACAGAAAAGTGTCTGTGCCTCAATGTTTCAATGCGTATTAACGTTTTTCACATCCTTACAAATGTTTTAACTTTTCAAACTTCTTGGTAGTTCCATGAAGTTATTCTTTACCACTTCACTAATCATATCCTTTATAATATAGATAAAAATCCCTAAAACAGTTTCATTAAGTTTAATGTAACAGCATAAACTGTAGAAAATAATAAAAAATATAACTGACATAACTAAAATCAAAGCTCCAGCTACTGAAATTCTTTCTAATGATCCTAGGAAGACGGTTAATGACATTAATAAATAGTTTGTAAATATAGGAAAGAATATTGTTGAGTCTATTAAAAACCGTTCTACAAACATATCCCGGGCACACCAGACATATCATCTAGTCACTTATTTGTATTACTTCCAGTGGACCTCGGATATCGAAACAATTATATCAAATAATAAAAAAAATATTTCAAGTTCTCTTATAAACATCATCATCATTCATCATTACAGCCCTTCACAAGTCCACTGCTGAACATAGGCCTCCCCCAAGTAATGCCACAAAGCACGGTACTGAGCCACCTGCATCCATCGAATTCCTTCATATCTTACCAGGTCGTCACTCCATCTAGTGGGGGGTCGCCCTACACTACGCCTACCGGTACGAGGCTGCCACTCGAGAACCTTTCTTCCCCATCGGTTATCGGTTCTTCGAGCTATATGGCCGGCCCATTGCCACTTCAGCTTACTAATCCGTTGGGCTATGTCGGTCACTCTGGTTTTACTGCGGATATCCTCATTTCTGAGTCTATCACGCAGAGAAACTCCGAGAATAGCCCTCTCCATAGCTCGCTGAGCGACCTTGAGCGACTTCATACGGCCAGCAGTGAAGGACCACGTCTCTGATCCGTAAGTATTCACTGGCAACACACACTGGTTGTACACTTTGGTTTTCAGAGATTGAGGTAAACTTGACGAGAAGATGTGTCGTAATTTCCCGAACGCTGCCCAGCCGAGTTGAATCCGTCGATTGACTTCTCGGTCGAAGTTGGACTTACCTAGTCGGACTATTTGTCCCAGGTAAACGTATTCGTCAACAACTTCGAGCTTAGTGCTCCCAACAAGTACCGGCATAGGTGTGACATGGACATTAGACATGATCTTTGTTTTGTCCATGTTCATCTTAAGACCGACCCGTTGGGAGACACCATTGAGGTCATTGAGCATAGTGCTTTGGACCTCCAGCGATTCTGCCATAAGGACTATATCGTCGGCAAATCAAAGGTGAGTGATGTACTCGCCATTGATGTTAATACTGTATCCTTTCCAGTCCAGTAGCTTGAAAACGTCTTCCAATACAGCGGTGAAGAGTTTCGGGGATATAACGTCACCCTGTCTTACACCTCTCTGCAGTTGGATAGGTTTCGAACTCTGGTTCTGTACTCAGATAGCCATCGTAGCCCTACTGTACAAACACTTCAGCACTTCGATATACCGATAGGCAACTTGGCACCGCTGAAGGGACTGTAGCACCGCCCAAATTTCGACGGAATTAAAGGCTTTCTCATAGTCCACATACGCCAGGCAAAGTGGCAGATTGTACTCTTCGGACTTCTGTACAATCTGCCGCAGGGTATGTATGTGGTCTATGGTACTGAAGCCTTTTCGGAAACCGGCTTGTTCGGGAGGCTGGAAGTCGTCGAGTCTGCGTGCGAGAAGATTCATAATGACTCTCGAAAACAGCACGATGACGCGGCTCAGAAGGGATATCGGTCCGTAGTTCTTCAAGAGGGCGTTGTCACCTTTATTGAAGAACAAGACCACCGCACTTCTGCTCCACGCCTCCGGAGTAGTGTCACCATGGAGGACAGAATTGAAAAGCTTCTGAAGGACTTCAAGTACTGGTGTTCTACCCGCTTTCAGAAGCTTCGCTGTAATTCCATCCTCGCCTGGGGCCCTGCCGTTTTTAAGGTGCTGGAGAGCCATTCTAATCTCGCTCAGACTGACGTCCGGGATATCATCGGAATAGTGTCGGATAAGACTTGCTCTTGGATCGTTACTCACATTTGCGTGTGGCTCCAACGGTGATGTGTACAGCTGCCCATAGAACCTCTCTATCTCACTCAAAATCTCAAGTGTTCCGGAAACGATGCTGCCACACTCAGTCTTCAGCTTTGACAGTTGGCTCTTTCTGGCACACAGATCTCTGACAAAGAATTTGGAGTCCTGATTCCGCTCGATTGCTTCTTTAATACGAGCAGTATTAAAGTTGCGTAAGTCTCGCCGCATACATTTGGAGATCTGTCTGTTCAGTTGCCTGTATGCTGTCAAATCTGTTGACGATTGCAGCCTCATCTTCCGTCTAACAGCCATGAGATTAAGAGTGTGATCGGAGAGTTTTTGTGTTCTTCTGTGGCGGGTCTTGCAGAACTTAGCTCCGACCGCATGG